CGCTGGTTAAGTGATAAAATCGCTTTCTCGATCAGCGGTTAATAAGTTTGATCTTGCCCATCGAACTTATCGGAACTGGGGCATCAGGATTTCTATTTAATTGCATGTTTAACGCGTTACTACTTATAAACTTTCCCCGTCGATAGATTTTCGTTAATAATCCCTAGCGAATCACAATCGTTGTTTGACTCGGGAGGTTAAATAGAATCCAGAGAAAGCGTATACAGATAGTCGGATTGTAAATCCGTGAGTATTGATAAACCTTATTAAAGTCACTAATTGGATAGAGGTTTAGCGATAGTAGGAACGAGCCTGAGAGTTCCGCCGGAAGACGACTAAATCCCAAGGTCGTTACACGAACGCTTTCCCACGTGTGGCAATCCGACAAAACACACTACTACTGCTTATATAATTTTCGATCGGACTAATTGAACTATTTTTAGCGGCTAACTCTACTATTCTATTGATGGTTCCTCAGTATTTATTTAGAGCTTTTGAAGCATTGTTTCAGCGTTGCTTCAACGTTTGCCTCAGTGTTGCTTCAATGTGCAGTACTGCACGTTACACTAATATTAGAAATGCAACTACTACTACTACTACTACTACCGCTTTCCGCAGCTGCGCTGGTGTTACCGCTGATCGAAACATGCCTGTGGCGCCGTCGGAGGAACGCAGAAATTTAGGAAACTCACACAGCGACCCCATTTTGTCCGCATAGATCGAACTGTGATTGGTTGATAATTGATCTTGAGAAATTTTCCATAAAAAGTAATAAATTAGGGCGACAACAATCGACCCGATATGTCAACACAACAACACAGACGATCTTCACCATATCCGAGTTTTTTGGTTGTACTAGTACGATGATATGTATTTGTTCTTGGATAATTTTTTTTTTAGCAATTATGTTAACTATTAACTATTCTATACAAATTGTTAATCGATAATTCACACTCTCACCGAATTAAATGGTTGCTAACACCAGGTCGAGATTACATCAAACATGGATAATTGTGTGGATATTAAGATTAACATTTTACAGTTATTCTTGATAATAGGCTATGTCAGATACTGCATCAAATTCACATAATGAGTTAATATGTACAGTATGAGAGAAAAAAATGCTTTCCAAATATTTGAAGACTTGCTTTGGAGTCGGAACACTATCATCCTTTTACTTTGTCGCTTTTTTGATCCAACCCTCAACCTCAGTTTCAATGATTGTTGCTACTCCCTTTTGGTATTTCATGGCACTCTTTTGCTTTAGTATTAGTATGGAAGATAGAGGCTGTGAGCAACTGGAGGATTTTACATTTGTAAAAGGAAAGAATGTAACACACTTACAAACAAGATTTCATGCTTATTTTTCTGTTCTGTATAGAGTTTGTCATGGCTAATAGTTTTTTTCCATGTCTCGGAAAAAAAGAAAAAGAATGTTAAATTATATGACTTATAAACTGGCTATGTATATGAAGTAATTTTAAAATACAATTGGAGCAGTTTAGGTCCAGGTAACAAGCAGTCCCCAGACTTCCAAACTTGAGTAACAAGCAGTCCCCAAGCTGCTGCTGATCTGGAACATATGGGTAACAAGTAGTCCCCATATGTCTGGAGGAAGTAACAAGCAGTCCTTCCTCACATCAGATACTTACACCCCTTGAAAATAAGAAGTGCTATCCCTTGGAGGTCAAATTCTGACAGATGAATTCAACTGAATTACTTACTTTCCAATTATCACTAATTTTTCTCAAAAAACATTCAGACTCCAGAATATCTGTAACACCCTTCCTTATAGAATCATATATTTTGATGTATGTATCATTTGGCATTTCTTGCAAATAACATTGTCAGTGGTTACAGAACTGACAACCACATCGGGCTGGGAAAGAAGCCTGAAAAGAGGTCTTCTGGATGTTGCACTCTCCACTAGAAACATATAATTAGTCAAACAAAGATGTCTAGCATGGCTTAACCCAAATATAAATTCTCATACAGTACTTTGCTCTCCTGGGAAGTGTATGGAGAAAATTTTTTTTCGTACTGCTAATATGATTAAATCGCTCACTACACTCTATTCTATGCCCTAATGCCAAGTCACGAAGTTGTTACCTGTAGAAGTACTTGCTAGCGCATTTTGCAGCTTCTGCACCTGTTCTTCCCACCTGTCTCTTCTCTCCTCCAGCCTAGCCAGCTCTCTCATTTCTTTCTCAGTAAGCTCTTCTGCGTTTTCAGTCCATCCAGCCTCTCTAGCTTTGCCTTAGTCTCATCGGACCCCTTCTTTGCATCACTCAGTTCCCTCGACAGTGGCCATGTTTACATTTCAACGTGGGTAAGAACGAATTGCGCAGCCACTCCCGTTTGATGGGAAAATTTAACGAATGAGTCACGTGGTGATTGTTTTATTTTTGCGTAAGCGATCAATAATAATAAATTATTCAAAAACAATCGCGAGCTTGCAAGGGAGGGAAACAGTCGGCCCCTAGACCTGCCTTGAACGGCGAAAACTGTCCCTATTCTTTGGGCTCGCTAAGCTATTAATTTTCATTATTCTTCTCGCCATAATCTCTCGTCTCCTTTTGACGCTGCAATACATTTCGGATCGTGGAGTTTTCTCTTTGCACCAACGGAGTGTTAGAACGTCTCCATCATATGATCCCGGTGCCTATTTCAAAAAAAAAAAAAAGTTGAACCACTTGAGATTATCTCGTATTTCGCAGAGGCTTCCTTCAATACCATTGAGTTTGTCAACTACCACGTTATGTGCAGCAGCTTGTTGATATACGGAAGGAAGCATGCAATTGTAAACATCGCATGTGAGCTGCTCTTGGTCTCGAGCACCCAAGCAAGGAAGAGCAAAAGCATAAAAGCTTCTGCCATTTTGGAGAGAAATATCTGCAAATTAGCATTCTTTGCGGCATGCAGGCTGTTGTCAGAATCAAAATAACGAACCATCTTTATTTTTTAAATAGTGCAGATGGTTTGCTCGCAATTTGAAGAAATCATGTACAGTCTTTTTGTAGAGTTTGAAAATACGTTGTAGCAAGCGTTTTTGGCTTTGGTGAATGTGAATTCATATTGCTTTTATACACGAACTAGCAATAGGTCTAAAATGCCACTAAAAATTAGGTGCATGAGCCACAGCTATAAATTGAGCAAAGCCTCACCAAAATTTATCAGCTAAATTAGTTTATTTTCCAGCCACATCAGCCTCTTTAGCTCACATGATCAACTCAAATTTACTGATTTAAATTTTTTAAAAAAATTTACTTTCACAAAAAAGAAAACATGACCACCGCAACGGATGCAAGGGAAGACAGAACAAGTTATGAAAAGTGGCTGCGTGATAACGGTGCAAAATTCAACAATGTTGCCTTTGGCCAAGGTGAGTCGTCAAACTCACGATAACCTCTCTTACTGAGGTCAGTTCAGGTTATCAGTTATGCTTGATGCTTGCATTTAGTATGCTTTATTTTTTCTATACAAATTAAACTCTCCCCCAAAAATGTTTACTATCCAAAAAGATCCCAAAACCGCCATGTCTGGTCTATTCTCTGCATGTTCTATTCCCTCGTCAACTCTCCTTGTCTCCATTCCTTCCTCTCTCTTCATAAGCACATCTTGTTCTTACTCTTTCCTCTCCCCCTTTTTGAACACACTCTCACCACGAGCGCTATTATCTCTCTGTCTCCTCTACGAAAAAAAACTCGGCCCAGACTCTTTCTTCTTTCCTTACATCGAAATACTACCCAAGAATGTCCTAACACCGCTATGGTTCAAGGAAGAGGAAATGGAATTGTTGGAGGGGACGAATTTGGAAGTAGGAGTGAAAAAGAGGAAGGAGAGCTTGATAAAAGAGTGGAAGGCGATTAGAGATTTGCATGGTGGAATTACATGGTGAGTTTGGGGATATTATACGGAACATACAGGAAAACATAGAACGCGTCAAATTTATGATGATTGTACAATTCATCTCTAAATTTTGTCCAACTTTCGCATTTCATTCCTTCTCACAACTATCGTTTTCGTGTTGTCAACCAGGCCTGACTACCTCTGGGCCGTCTCTATCATAACCTCTCGCGCATTTCCTTACTCCCTGGTCGATCCATCCGATAAAACATCAGCGGAGGTCCTAATTCCTCTCGCAGATGCATTGAACCACGAACCCAGAAAGAAGATTCTTTGGAAATATGTTAATGATACGTTAGAGATTATAACCGAGGAAGATATCGGGGCTTGTGCTCAAATTTTTAATAACTATGGACCGAAGGTGTGCTTGCGGGTTTGTTACTTGGGTTTATCAATACGAGAGTAATACAGTCGACATATTGCTCGTTATTTTACCTTTACCCTAACAATATTTTGCATTCTAAAAAAATGTTTCCGAGTGACAGTCAAACGAGGAGCGTAAGTTTTTCATCATAACATGTCTATTCAATCTAACCATTATAGAAAAATTGCCAATCTTACCAGCTCACCCATGTTTTCTCCCTCTCCGATAATAAAGTACTCTTGGGTTACGGTTTTACAATACGTAACAATCCTGATGACTGGGTAGCAATAAAAGTTTCATTTTCGAATTCTTCGACTCTGTCTCAAACCCAAATTCCTTCCAGCTCTCAAACTCATTCTGACGATTCCTTGGGTTTGGACAATTCCTCGGACGGTTCCTCGGACGGTTCCTCGTCTCCGGCTCATATTCCATCTAAAAACTACCTCCTTTCCATTAGTGGTCTTACTAATACGCGCCATTTTCTCTTTTCCGACTACATTCCATCTGCTCTTCTTGCTCAATTGCGAATTCTTGTGATGACCGACACAGAGCTTGAATTATACATGAATGCTGCTGGGAAGCATTGGTGTGAATTCGTGGGGTATAGAAATGAATTGGCGATGCTCGAGGCATTTAGAGAATTGGTTTGGAAGAAAATTTCGGGGCTGAGGCGGGGAGTGAAGCAAGGAAAGTTGAAGAATGTGAGAAGGGAGGTTTTGCATAGCGTTGAGTTTTATAGGGAAGGCGAGTATTGAAGTCTCTGGTGATGGAGGATATGAGTTGGAGCATGAGATCTACGCGATAGTCAATTCGCAAATACTGTCGCGTACGGCATGTATTATATTATGTACAAGCTTACCTTCCAATTGCCAACTAACAATCTTTTCCTTAGGTCAAAAGTATATACTGGAAAACACGCTCTCTCATGTATCCACTCGTACGAATATGGTGATATCGCTTGCTTTATCTGAGCTGCATTCTAGTCGGAAGCTCTATCCCCCATTTCTCAAAATAAACAATGCCACTCTGAAAACCCCCGTGTTCTCTTCTCTCCCTTCCTCCTCCGTCAACCCCATAACTGCACTTGTAATTTCAATAGACAATGCGATGAACGATAAATTGTTTGCTGATGCAGTTAGAAAGGTGATTGACAATGTTTATGAGGAAGAAGACGTTGTCCTTATGTTGTATTTGATATACGAAAGACAGAATACGACTTCTCCGTGGAGAAAATTCTTTCAGGCGGTTGATGGATACATAATGTGAGTGTGTTTTATATCACAGCGTGGAGTATGTCAAATACGTGTTATTTACGAATATAGCTCGTTTGTGTTGCAACTTTTTATAGGATGGCTGAGAGTGACAAGGAAGAGAAAGAAAAAAGGATGCAAATAGAACAGTTGCATCGTTCATTGCAGTTGGGTGCCACGTCTAGTATATTTTCTGATGAGGTCTATACGATAGATAGTTTCATATGGGCAGCTAATATTATAGATACATTCTCATTAACATTTTATCAAGATGGAGCAGCGCGTACTGGAATAGTTCCAACATAGATATGTAATATATGGTATGGTGAGCAATGGCGAATGCTTGAAATTGAGAACCACAGGTACTGGCACAATTGAACGTTAATATTACAGATTAATTACATGATTACAGCGTTTTGCACTACTTAAGAAATAATAAATTGCAGACATTAATGAAACGCGTGCTGATAGTACTTTATTCATGGTCTACAGTCACACTGGTGTGAACAATAATCCACATCGGAACTTCAAAAATTTGAATAAAATCATTAAGAATCGCCACCATATATTTCATTATCTTTCAGGGAAGCGGTTTTCATTCAACTCCGCTTTAGTTTTCGGGTGCAATTTGCCTTCGTTTCCCTTTCGTGTTTTCTAAAAATAATTGTTTGACTACTTTCTCAATCTCATGTGATTTTTTCTACATTTGACCGACAAATTAGGTATGTTTATTTATGTATTTATGTAATATTGTTAAGCAATTTGAGAATGCAGTACGCGTCCTCAAGCATCCCAAATTCATCTTCGTCCGATGGTAATCTGCATTGGTCGATTAAGCCAAATCTGTAATACCAGAACCTGACCAGTCCATGGCATAAAAATTCAGTTCTAGACCTATACATAAAAATGAAGTTTATTAGCAAATTAAATCCAACCTACATAATATAGACAAAACTTACCGAATTGAAGCCATCCATATATAATTAAATTCATACGTTTCTCGGATGGTATATGTTTGCATTCCTTTAGCAGTCTGTTAATGCCATCGCGCATTGTTATCATTAGTTTTACCTTATCGAGGTAACGCTTTTTACGACAGGCAGTGGGTATTCCAAGTGGACCCAATCCCCCTGCTACTTCTCCATAAATGACCTCGAATTTATTAGAGGTTTTGACAAGGGTACTCTTCATATCTACACGTCTTCCTATCCGTGCTTTTTTAAATGGATTTCTCTTTTCGTTGCGTGCATAATTTGTAGGTATAGTCTGGATTTCTCCCCTAGATATGCAAAATAGTTATTAATATTTGAAAAATATGATACTTCCAATACAAATGTAAATAAGTGATCTACCAATTATTTTTAATCCTATTCCACGAAATAGTGGAAATGCTGAACTCATTTTTAATTCCTCCTCAGTCATTATTCCTTGAAAACTATATGCATCACTTTTCCTGTATAGCAATATAGAGTCAGAACACTACAACCAGATAACAAATATAATCTAAAACTTATACATACATAAACTGAATGTTGACATCCAATTTTCTAATATTGTCAATCCTTTTCTCACAATTACTATCAAAATATTCTCGTATATTCTCTTCTGGAGGCATTGTTTTCCAGGAAATTTTATTGGCAAAGTCTTGTGATAGTTGCATTATATCCTCCTCTTTGAGTTGTTTACAATCATGTAAGCTTTCTCCAGTTAAATCCAGACCCCCCAGTACGCAGGACTATTGAATGAAAATGGAAATGATAATGATAGAATGTATCATTAATTGGGTCATTACTAAAAACAATGATAAATGACATCAAACTTACGTAAAAATCTTACGGGTTTTGGTACCGTCTTTTGATATTCGTGAAAGGCTTCAATGATACCCGCATCCATATTTTTTGGTTGATCCTGTTTAGGATAATATAATGAGCCTACTGAATACATATTCCCAACTGTTAACATTAAGGCTTACCTTTGAGACGCTATTATCACTTGCTTGTGGCAATATGTTCTCTTGCTCAAGAACTTTTTCATCAACACTTTCCACAAGGGCATCTTTGTTTGATTCATCAAATAATAACGACAATCCTTCATAATCCGGCTCATCATCATCTCTTTTTCTTTTCGAGCTTTTCTCCAACTTTTTTCTCTCCTTGGTATTCTCTTCATCATCATCTTTTTTGTCGATATCTTCGTTGTCATCTTCGTCGTCATTTTCGTCAATCTCATCATCATTAACCTAGATATTGAAAATTAGATATAGGTGAAACGGAAATTATTGACTAACAGTATTTTACGTACTTCAGAATTTTCATCCGATATTTCTTCTTTATTCACTCTTTGAATTTTCGGCATAATCTACCTTATTTATTTTCTCGGTGATCTTCTGAGAGGCGGATTTTCTTGTTCGTTTACGGTTCCAACTTTCCCCCCATTCATTATTCTGGTAACTGTGTTAATTGACCCATTTACTGTTCCATTTATCGGTTGGTGTAGGTGAACTTGTTTGCGTGTACGTTCCTCTTCCCAGGATTTTGCGACTTTACAATCTGGTCTAGGATTCTAGCATAGAAAATTTGAAAGTTAGTTACTTCAATTTATATCTATCGCGAGGAACTTTTATACTTCAATCTATATCCCATTTGAGTATCAGATAACCAAGCAAGCCACCTGACCCAAGAAGTTGACTTGCCTTTTGTGGTCTCATTCCTTGTTCCATATTAATGATTTCAAGATCTTTAAGGTAAGCGTCTATTTTTAAATCGAATGGTTCTATATCACATTCATTAAAAATCCGACTATGTTCCATTTACTATATTTGCGATTAAAATGTTCATGTATTTTATTATCAAACATATCGCGAGGAAATTTCTGAAAGACGCGTTTTCAGAAGGTAATACACAGGCAAACTCGATAAGTCGGTGATGTATGATGGACCGACTTATCGAGAGATTTTAAATATTAAAACTGAGAAAAGGGCTTGGGAAGTTTTGGCCTTCTTAGGCCAAAATTGAATCAACTTATCGAGTTTGCCTGTGTACTAGTTATGCCACAAAAATTTGGCAGTCCCGTGATTTCGGCCTGCTGTTTATTGGTGGATTAGTTATGGGGACTGTCAGATGTTCACATTTTACGGATATGGATATTTATATTAGCATAACCTCAGAATCAAGGGGGGGCAATCTTTTTATTTGGATTGGGGTCTTTTTACAAATGTTCCTTCTCTACGGCTTACTCTTGTTAATAGGTACCTCTTGTTAATTTTAGTGCTAACTCTAGCAACATTATCTGTGTGCCTAATAAAGACCTCAAAAACTCTAGCAACGTTATCTATAAATTCCATCAATGAACAGAAACTCAATAAAAACCATAAAAAGAAAATATAAAAAATTATATAGAGGGTATTTGGGGTAGTGGTGAATATTGTGGCGAAAAACTTATCGTCTCTATTGTTATATAAATAAATATCAAAATTCAATCCCAATAGTAACAGTAAAAGCATAGACTACTGATTTCTCACATTTATATGGCATATATACCCCCCCCCCGTGATTTGTACCCTCCTTCTAATACTAACAGCCAATTAAAATTTAAGATCAGAGATAACACAAAATTTGTTCAGTAAATTTTATTAAACTATGATTATTCGCAAACATTACTGCCTCCGACTTCTTCATATTCTTCACCGTCAATACTATTGAAATTCATTACTTCAGAATTTTCATC